TCACTTCTCTGTCAAAGGTTCTAATATATTCACTGGGAGCCTGTGTCACTGAGATAACGGAGTAAAAGATTGAGCAGGATACACCCTCCCAGCGCTTTGGAGCAAAGCAGTTTCCAATGTAAAGGAGGTCATCTTTTTCTGATGAATCGAACGGGACACAATGTGAGCGTCCGGTTGCTATGGTGAAGCTAAAAGAAACCCCACAGTGTATTTTCGGTCTCAGTATCCCAGGTGGAAGGTCTGCACCACCACAAAACCAGGCAGCACCTGGTCTCTGTGCTCAGGCTAACAGCAGCAGCAGGCTCTGCCTTTGTCAGTCACATTATTCCCCCTGCTCTGTCCCATTTCATTCACCGATAGCCAGATGCTTCCTCTCCTTTAAAAACCAATCGATACGCCGGCAGTATTCAGCATTCAGCCGCCGATTGTACCACGTTAATTCCCAAAGCCAGCACCTCCACCCCCCGCCCCCCACCCCCAACACAAACACACACAGACAGACACACACACACACAGACACACACAGACACACACACAGACACAGACACACAGCCAGACACACACACACAGAGACACACACACACAGAGACAGACAGACAGACACACAGACACACACACACAGACACACACACACATACAGACAGACACACACACAGACAGACACACACAGACAGACACACACAGACAGATACATACAGACACAGACACACACACACAGACACACGCACAGACACACGCACACACACACACACACAGAGATACTCACACACAGACACACACACACGCACACACACACACACACAGAGATACTCAGACACAAACCTCATTCTTTGTCTCTGATACCACTGCATTTAATGCTTCAACTCCAAAAGTTAGCAAATGCACAGAGAGAAAAAAATCTATAAATGTTATTGTAAATAGCAGCGCAGTTCATAGGGTCTGGTTTAAACACACACACACACACACACGGAAGGACTAAACCAGTGTCTGAAACAAATTCTGGGCTGTAAGGATCAGTTTCATGTCGGGCTGCATCCGCCTTCTGAACTGTTCACATCGTGAAAGAAACCAGCGCATAGTTCGACATGAGGACCCGGTCTTCCCGATGCTGGTATGCGTCTGTGTGTATGTGTGTGTGTGTGTGTCTGTGTGTGTGCATCTGTGTGTGTGATTGTGTGTGTGTGTGTATATGTGTCTGTGTCTGTGTGTGTATGTATGTCTGTGTGTGTGTGTCTGTGTGTGTGTCGGTGTATTTGCGTGTGTGGCTGTGTGTGTGTGTCTGTGTTGGTGTATTTGCGTGTGTGTGCGTGCGTGTGTGTCTGTGTGTGTGCATGTCTGTGTGTGTGCGCATGTCTGTGTGTGTGCGCATGTCTGTGTGTGTGCGCATGTGTGTCTGTGTGTGTGCATGTCTGTGTGTGTGTGCATGTCTGTGTGTGTGTGCATGTCTGTGTGTGTGCGCATGTGTGTCTGTGTGTGTGTGAGAGAGAGAGAGAGGAGTGTGTGTGTGAGAGAGAGAAATGCATGTGAGAGAGAGAGGTGTGTGTGTGAGAAAGAGAGGTGTGTGTGTGAGAGAGAGAGAGGTGTGTGTGTATGTGAGAGAGAGGTGTGTGTGTGTGAGAGAGAGAGGTGTTTGTGTGAGAGAGAGAGGTGTGTGTGTGAGAGAAAGGTGTGAGTGTGAGAGAGAGAGATGAGTGTGTGTGTTTGAGAGAGAGAGGGATAAGTGTGTGTGTGAGAGAGATGTGTGTGTGTGTTTGTGTGTGTTAAGAGTGAGAGAGGGATGAGTGTGTGTGAGAGAGATGAGTGTGCCTTTATGAGAGAGAGATATGAGCGTGTGGGTGAGAGAAGAAGATAAGTGTGTCTTTGTGTGAGAGAGAAAGAGATGAGTGTGTGTGTAAGAGAGAGAGATGAGTGTATGCGTGTGTGTGAGAGAGAAGTGTGTGTGAGAGAGAGAGAAATGACTGTGTGTGAGAGATGACTGAGTGTGTGTGAGAGACATGAGTGTGCGCGTGAGTGAGAGAGATGAGTGTGTGTGTGAGAGAGAGAGAGGAGAGTGTGTGTGAGAGAGAGGAGTGTGTGTGTGAGAGAGAGAGTGGAGTCTGTGTGTGTGAGAGAGAGGAATATGTGTGTGTGAGAGAGAGGAGTGTGTGAGAGAGAGTGAGAGGAGTGTGTGTGAGAAAGAGAGGAGTGTGTGTGAGAAAGACAGGAATGTGTGTGTGAGATAGACGTGTGTGTCTGTGAGAGGGAGAGGAGTGTGTGTGTGAGAGAGGAGTGTGTGAGAAAGAGAGGAGTGTGTGTGAGAGATGAGTGTGTGTGAGAGATGAGTGTGTGTGAGAGATGAGTGTGTGTGAGAGAGAGGAGTGTGTGTGAGAGAGAGTGTGTGTGTGTGAGAGGAGTGTGTGTGTGTGAGAGAGAGGAGTGTGTGAGAGAAAGAGAGGAGTGCATGTGTGAGAGAGAGGAGCGTGTGTGTGTGAGAGAGAGGAATGTGTTTGTGAGAGAGAGGAGTGTGTGTGTGAGAGAGAGAGAGTGTGTGTAGAGAGAGGAGTGCGTGTGTGAGAGAGAGTGTGTGTGAGAGAGAGAAGAGTGTATGTATGTGAGAGAGAGGAGTATGTGTGTGTGAGAAAGAGACAGAGGAGTGTGTGTGTGTGTGTGTGTGAGAGAGAGAGAGAGAGTAGTGTGTGTGTGAGAGAGAGAGGAGTGTGTGTGTGAGAGAGAGGAGTGTGTGTGTGTTAGAGAGAGAGGAGTGTGTGTGTGTAAGAGAGAGAGTGGAGTCTGTGTGTGTGTGAGAAAGAGAGTATGAGTGTGAGAGAGAGACAGACGAGTGTGTGTGTGAGAGAGAGGAGTGTGTGTGAGACAGAGAGGAGTGTGTGTGAGAGATAGAGAGGAGTGTGTGTGAGAGA